CCATGGCTATAATAAATTTATAAATTAAAAAAACACAACTGGGACGTTTTAAAATGCTGTAATAATTAAAATGGATCAAAGTGCCGGCTATAGCAAACCGTAAAAAAGTATTAGATGTTATGTTTTATTATCTTTTTTCAATATTTTCTATATCTTGTTGCCTTTTACGCAGACACGCCAATGGATTTTCGTTCCCGGCATGCTTCATCCCCCTTACTAGTCCAAAAGCTAGTGATGAGTCGCTCTCTATAATTTCGACCACGGAGTATAGTCATATTTTGTAAAAAATTTAATTACAAACATTTTCTTCCTCTTCCATTTTTGCCTAAAATGATCTCTTGAAAAGATACATAATTAAATAGGAAGAAAAATGTGACATTTTTCGAATTTTTTTAACATATTGTGAAGCCAAAAGTTAAGCCCGTTTTCTTTTATGCACATAGAAAAATTTTAGTTTCTAGTGATATTTGAAAGCCTAAAAGCCAAAAATCTCTGTGGATATACGATTTACCCAAATATTGACTTTTTGAAATAGATGCTGAATGGACTATATGGTTTAGAGGGATTTGCCATAGTTATTATAAGTTTAACTTCACAAATTTACAGTATATAACGAGCGTTCAAATAAAAACATGGTCGAAGTTGGCTCTGACACATTGGACGTAGGGCGTAGCTTATAACGACCAACTTAACCTCATTTCTCAACGAGCTGTATAGCAGCTGTCAGTTTCAATAACAAAGCGGCGATACAGCGCTTTGACAGATGACGTTTAAGTTCATTTGCTATACGCTACGCCCAACGTCCAAATTTTCAGAACCAACTTGACCACGTTTTTATTTGAACGCTCGTTATAAGGTAGTGTACTGCTTATTGACACCACTCCACACATTTAATAACCAAAGCAGTCAGCTGCACTGTCGAAACGCGTTATTGTATATGTCGCGTTTGCCATTTACTTACCGATGACGTCAACGTATTGACATCCCAGTCCATGGGGTTTGCGCGCAAAGCGAACCGATTTAAACTTTAATATTTAATAACTTTTTAAAAATAAATTAATATAACAAAACCTTTACACATTGTTTGTAGTATTCAGTGTAAATACAAAAACTATTCAAATATTTTTTTCTGCAAGAGGCCTATTCTATTTTCCCATACCATTTAAAATCGATAAAGATATAACACCACAATCGAAATTATTTGACTTAAAAACTAAAAAACTAAGTTATGTAAAGGACAAACCTATGGGAGCAGTTTAACTAATCCATCAAAGGGTAAGCAGAAAATAATACAAAACACTATTCTAAGGCTACAGTTTGCTTACATCTACTTCCCCGGGGGATGCAACGAGCCGTAGTTGTGGTACACCAAGGAAAACAGGCTGTTAGAGCATCGAAATGCTCATAGGTATCACTAATAACTGCAAACAACCATCACCATCAATTAAATGTCTGCGTCATGCATACTAAAGAATGCAGTCAGTCGTAAGCTTATCAGAATAAATCCAAGATCTATGACGTTAAATTATTAAAGCCAGTAATGACATTTTTGAAAACTTCATTATGAAACTAAATTAGTAAAGGAAAGAAGCACCACGTACCAGTGATGTTAATTTTTCTCAGTGTATATTGTGTACTTTCAAAAAATAGGAACCATAATGATACCTTTAACAGCTTTTACTTAATATGGGGCCTGTTCCCTTTTAAAAGTAATTTCATACATTGTCCAAAAATAATTATCATTATGATTTCCATATTTTCAGAACTACACCAGTATGAATAAAGAAAAAACATTTTATTATAAGCTTGAAGTTATTTTAAAACCTAATTGTGAAGTAATGCAATAAACCCTTACTGGCATTTGAAACTTCTTTTACATACTGCATAGCTATTCTTTTCAAGTAATCTGCATGTTCCTCTGCTACAAAGAATCCCATAAAGTTTGGAGAAGTGTAAGTTTCTAATTTAAGTGGTTCATTCAATGTTGCACCATGGCGATCCATCACCGACTTCAAACCCTGTGCTAAATGTAGCGCATCTTCATCTGGTGCCTAAAATTAAATATTTTAAAAATTTTTATTTTAGAAATACTCAAAAGATACTAAAATTAGATTGCATAGATCTACTTCCTAAGATATAGATGTACTATATTAATTACTAATATACCTTAAAAAATGACACTAATGTTATATGTGGAATATAGTTGTGAGCACCATTCCAACCACATAGATTCAACGACTTTTCCCAAAAATTCTGTAGTTGCTGCAAGAATGGACCCGTAGGACAAGCATAGAGAATGTAATCCCTTGGAGAATTATCATCTAAAAGTGGATCGTTAACATGTGCCAATAACCAGTCTGATGCTAATTGCACTCCCCTATGTCCAGTAGCAGCAAGTGCTTTCTCGCTGGAAAAATTTACATTTTATTTTAAAAAAAATCCAAGTTATTAAATAGCATACGCTCTGTGTTTTGGAAATCCCATTTGCAGTAAAATTTGTAAAGGAGTTAAATGCTGTTTTGAAATTTTTGTTGGTGTGGGATTTCTCCTGGGTGGAAGTGTTGCCATTTTCACCACTAATTATATTAATGCGTAGGTAATTAATACTTTTGCATACACTTGTTATTTAAAGAGATTTGTTGATGAAAATGGAAGATAACATTACAATTACATTGTTTATGTTGGCTTTTAATAGATGACGTTTTCATATTCATACAACCGAATAACTCAATGTCAACAACGGCTGCGTTCAGCAGATGCAAAGTACAAACCACAAAATATACAATGTACAAACGTTGCAAAGTATTTATGATTATTCTGTTGAACGCAGAATTGGATATAGACTGACTACATAAGGCACATAAAGTGAGAGAAACATAGACAATGTTGTTTCATGATTTAGTTACACTTTTGAATCTGCTGAACACGGCTCATGTCAATTCGTCAATTGTCATTTGTCAAATTGTCAGAAGTCAAAAGTTTGTGTATACAAAGTGGTCCAAATATTTAAACGTCGGTGTGTATTTTTCATTTATAATAATTATTAAAGTATAGACAATAATGGCAGGAGTTTTATTTGAAGATATTTTTAACGTCAAAGATATTGATCCAGAAGGCAAAAAATTTGATAGGGGTAAGTATTTTTCCATTCGAACTATTCATATAATTTTCAAGGTTATGTTGCATTTAATTTGTACTTTTAGATATATTTGTCTGTTTTACCACATACAGTTCTTTTTCTGATCTCAGTTATTATTATTATTATTATATCGCCCTTCCATACTAGGTAGTTACTTAAGCATAATATCTACACAAGACACTATACGAGTATTCGTTGTACATAGTGTAAAATATATCTATATACTATCTTACTATAAAACTTAATAATACTTGATAATTTTAACATTTACACTTATGTGCCTTAAAATTACTGAAATTTTAGTTGATATTACAATATTGCATGACTAGATATTACTATATAAATAACTTCAGGTTAAATTTTTCAATTAAAGCCATTTCATGCAATGTTGCAAAATTTGTAATATATTTATAGCATATTTGCGAATCTTGTGTTACAAATAACAAATAAAAATTTTGTGTTTTGCGAAAAATATTTTGTTGCCAGTTTTGTCTGAATTTTAAGAAAATGTATGTGATTCTAAAATTTATAGAACAACTCTAGTGTGATCGATCATAAATACATATATTTTAAATCATTACCAGGAGTTTAAAAAATATGAATTATGTGTTTTGACTTGTTTACTTAATAAGTTTGTTTTATTTTAACTGTAAAAAAATAGAATATTTAAATTATTAAATTCAATTTTTTGCATAGAATTCCACATGTATAATGGATTTATCTTTTTTGGGATGATTAAAATATATAAATTAGGGGATAATCTATGCCTTATCCAGATCCTTATAGATATCTAAATGATATACAAAAAATTATCAGATTCGAAGAACTTATAGTAGCTAGCAATTATATGATAATATTTTGTCTTGAGTTATTATGTTCATTATAAGAACATACTTCATCTTCTTCAGGCCTTGAATTCAAACATATAGTCCAGACATGCATACCTGATATGTACATACAACACATAATTATTGTTAATGTTGTAGCTTATTATAAAACCAAGGTTTTAAAATTTTGTATTAATTGAGACGTAAAGATTTTTATCAATTTTGTTTTCTTATGAGACTATGCGATAAGTATATTACCGAAACATTAATTTAAGTGATTCAGTTTACTTTTTTTAATAAGAGTTCAAGTCAGAATCATGTGTGTAATTATAATTTTCTGCCTACCATATTAAATAACATAATATATACCTTTAAAAAATTGTGTATTTTTGTCATTTAATTCATCTAGATTTCAGGTAGAAAACGACCTCTTTGTAGCACATTTTCAAAAATATTTTTATATATCATTTCAGTGTTACTTTAAAAATCTGTGATTATTTTTTTAAATACAATTCTCTTTAATTAATTAAATTATCTTCTGTTATTCTACCTGAAAACTAATAAAACTATACACTGACTGCGTTTATTTGCAAAAAATGCAAAGGAAGATCTTGATTTGAAATCAGAATATGTCAGTGTGGGTGTACTATTGTTTGATGGTTGATAATAAGTCTTCAAAGTATTTCTCTCTGTCTTTTTCTGGACACTTGTGGAATGATACACAAAGCATAAACTTGCTTTGCTGAATTATATACTTCAAGTTAAAAACGAACCCTTTGACGTGTTGCTTTCTCGAAATATTTCTTCAATGACCAACCTCGAACTTGAATCAGCAGACAATTCTACTTATAGGTGTTAGCAATCGTCAGAATTTTTCGTCAATCTCTATTTTTTGTCTTTCATTTGATCCTTGTCGACGAAAAAATTCTACAAAACTTGTGGAAAGTCTGTCTTGCTTTCATTACTGTAAAAACAAGTTTGTGTTATTATTTGCAAAAGTCAAACAGTAGATAATGTTATAATTTTTGCGAGTTTTGAAAATGAATTCGCAAGTTTGAAACTATGGGTTATTCAGATTTCAGAACAGTAAATGATATTTATTTTATTTTTATTGTGTTTATTTGTTTATTGTGTGAAGAAAATGCAAGAGCTCTTTTTTATAAAAAATATTGACAGTAAATTAAACGCGCCTAATTTTTCCGACAGTTTTTATTAAAACTTTTGGACCTAAAATGATCCAAGGAATCACCTCCTTAATTTATGACTAGACTTAGGATACACCCTGTATATTTTCGAAGAAAATATACGCCAAACCAATTTTTATTAAAATGTTGTGTCTAGTAAGTATTTTTTATAAAAAATATATATATAAAACATTGAAATTATATCATAGAGTCCGCCAAAAAACATGTATACGTTACATGACCGAAGAACAATGTTTTGCAGGTCTTTCAGGACTGAAATCTATTTGACTTGACCTGCAATACACCAGATTGCGGTCTTGCAACGTAAATTATTAAGTTATTCCTGTAATGGAAGTAAGCCACGAATGTATTTTTAGCTATTATAGATTGGCACACAAAAAATGTTTCAGCGGGGTAAGAATCTGCTGCGTAAAAGGCCAAATATTGGTGAAAGTTTTCAATATAATACTCACTCATTATGAGAACGGGTGTCGTGTCAAAGATCGGGTATTTTTAAACTCCATGATCGTTAAGCAACGGCATTATTGAATAATGTGATGAATCGAACTTTATTAATCGTTAAATTAACTCCACCCTGGATTTGATGCTTGTGATTTTCTTCAAATTGTAGGTTCAGAAGAAATAAACGTATACTGCAACATGCGACGGCGACGGTGAGGTATCTTTTTTGGTATACGTATTTAAAAAAAAATTCTATACGTGATAAGTCAGTGGTACTTGTTTGCAGAACATATTGGTAAGTTGTATTTCTACATCACTTCACGGCGTGCGGCCTATTACCGCATGCCGTATTGTAATGTAAAAAATAAATAAAAATACATAATAATTAAAAAAAAACAAATTAATTTTTCTATTGAAGAAAACAAAAAGATCTTACAACACATCAATATACATTTCTACACATCTGTTTTAACAGAATTGTTATGGAGTTAACATTCTCTATTTTAATATATGGCATAGATTCGCTAAAGGATATACTAGTGGAGAAGATCGTCAAGTAGGTATCCTCCTGCTTTGTGTCGTCAAATTTGAATCGTTTTTCGTTCCCACTGACTTTCTTCGTTATTTCAGACTTATTTCCCTCTTCTCATATAGCAAGCTAAATGACCATATGACTTAATATTTTTCCAATGGAATTTATTAATTTATTCCAACAATTTGATTGGTACACTTTCCTATCTTATAGAATAAAAACAGAAGGTTGTATGTTACGTATGAAGGTCTTAATGATACATATTTGGTGAAATATTCTTTCTTCTGATTATAAACTAAAAATTTTCTACTTAGCTGTGTTTTTCAATCGGGAATGTTAATAACAAGAATGTTATGCTGTTGGTCAATGTCGATTAATATCATTTTGATCAATCCTATGGCTAAGGCGACCCGAAACAATGAAAAAACATTTCGCCTTTTACATTTTCTTATGTTTGGGATGAAGTTACATCTTAATAAACAATAGAATCTTACTTTCACCATTAAAAGATCGTCTTCCGATGCTTCCATAAATAATTTGCTCCACAAATACGCTAAATTTTTTCCTACCTTGCCCTAGATTTTTTGGTAGTAAGTCTGCTGTTATTCTTTTCACTATTTCTGATATCCCTCCTTTCAGAATCGGTGGAAAAAACGTAACATATTGTAAAGGTTGGACAAGTTAGGATGATATAAAGAATTTTTTCGTGACACATTTTGCCGAATTTATAATATAGAATTACCTAATCTAATGTTTAAACAAAAATAATCCCAAACTTTTTACAATAATTACATTTGCATACATAACGCTGATACCATGAGTCCAAAAACACAATATTTTGAAAAGTTTGTTTCTTAATTATTTCCTTCCAGAAATCTAGATGAATTAAGTACCGAAAGTATTCCGTATTTTTGAAATTTGTAATAACCCCTTTCTTCAGTAAAATTGTTTATTATGGTATGCAGTATCTTCATACTTCATACATAATTTTGACCTCGGATTGAACTGAGTCTCTTAAATGAATGCATACCAAAATGAAATGGATACATAACTTTGTCTAACTATTGCAAAATTTTAAACGATAGATTTTATAAACTGCAACAGTATCAACAATAATTTTGTGTTGCCTACATATCAGGATTGTATGTGTAGAATATACTATTGAATTCAAGATCTGAGAACAGAGTTACCAATGTATAATGCACAATAATGTTTTTATGAAAATTTAAAGTTTTACATTTAAGAAGTTTCTGTTTAAAGACATGTATAAAAAATGTTAATCAAAATTACCATTTGTACTAGTTATGATAGTAACTAGTCTGTGTATAAATGAGTCTCATTTTCACACAAGGCACATAATCAGATTCTCAATTTAATAATTGTATAATCATCAGTGTAGCAGTTGGCTGACTTTTTATTATATGATGTAATAATTTTAATTATAAAAAGAACCCCCAAAAGTAATTTTGCGAAAAATCACTCCTAAGGAAAACGCAGCAGGCCATGCATTGCCAACTTGATCATCGTATTTAATTCATAGGTTTATAATTCACAGAATAAGAGTAGATTCAGATTGTCGACATCAAAATAACAGGAGTTAGTCGAACATGTCTTAGAAAATGTTGCTGGTTTAAAATGTACAGGGCGATAAAATTCGATTTTAAATTTCCAATTTCTTCCTTATTTTAAACAACTGGCGTAGAAACTTGGAACATGGGATTTTTCATAGTAAGAAATCCCAATCTGAACTGACATTTTTAGATATCTTATAAAGGACGCTACTTATTCACTGTTGCATAGTTATCTTTCATCATAAAATTTCCATGCAAAGCTCTATCTGGATTTTGAATTAATAATTTGATAGGCTGATTATTTTTAATTTAAAAAGATATACCACTCTCTATGTGGCATTCCATGCCAAATCAGTGAGGTCGTGACCGGACCATTTTTATTTTCCTAATTTTTGGTATTATTTAGTACCCATTTAGA